TTACATGCGGTTACGCAACCCGAACACGACCAGCTGTGGCCGGTAGTAGTTAATCCTCTCGGACAATAGACAGTACCGTGGCACCGGGATCTCCGGAAGTGAGCATCGATCCGAGATAATCTTTTCGGACAATGGACTGTTGACGCACGTGCGCTCGCGTGTGGTGAGTGTGTAATCCGTCGGACAATAGGACTTTAAGTGGCCGGAAGTACTTATTGATCACTCCGTGGGGGTTAGCCGGAACAGATCGATATTTCTCGAAAGGGCCTACGGTGGCGCTCGTGGTGTGAGGCATAGTTTAGAGATGTTGTCAGAGTTATATTTAGGAATATCGTCACTAATTATTTTTAACCTCTGCGTTTCGTACGTAAAAAAAAAAAAAGTCAGCGAAACTGTCGGACTACCGATCATTCGGTCATTTATAAATTGAAGAGCAATAGTATAATGACATCATAGAGCTACAGCACGTACTGCGTAACACTACCTAGAAATGGATATCTACAGAGAAATACAAAATTGTCAAACTTACGAAGAGCTCGGTTTCATATTGGATACCGTTACACTCAACGCTGTTCAATCGGCAGTAGCTCTGAATCGGCTGTACGAGCTGACTTTACCAAACAACGAGGCATAGTTTTTGATTAATCGAAGGTCCAAGATAGCTAATAATCCATGCGTATGTACGGAGACTGGTCGTCGTTCCACGATGATACGCAATTCATTATCTCCGTGCACCAATATTCTTCTTAATTGTTATTCGATACAATACCAATGGCACTCTTCTACACTGCCACCAAAACCATCCAAGTAAAATATATATCTATGCGCGGTGATCGTAGCAATGGAAGGTTTTGACTTTAGCCAGAGCGAATGCAAGTACACAGGCACCTGTGACATCCTACTGCATCTTCACACTCGTCCGATCAGATGGCGCTTAATCCATCGATTAGGCAAATGAGTGAATAAGTAATCAAATGAGTAACGAAATGAGTAAATGAGTAACGAAATGAGTAAATGAGTAACAAAATGAGTAACCAAGTGAGTAAATGAGTAACCAAATGAGTAGCAAATAAGTAAATGAGTAACGCCATGAGTGAATGAGTAATCAAATGAGTAAATGAGTAACCAAATGATTACTCATTCAGGCTAAATTATCGATTAGGCTCTATATCTTTAAGTCTGCAGATGCGCGTGCAATTTTGAATGGATTTTGTTGAAAAAGCGTCATTATAACCATAACAAAACGTACTTGCCTGTGGTTTTTAAAGGGACACTACGGCCTGGACAGTGCCCGATTGAGCAATGCTTCTCGAATGATGTTTTATCGGAAAGAGCATAACACAACCATCGTTTAAACCTGTGTGTTGTGTGATATTTCGAGCAAGAACGAATTTTAGGGTTCTCCATTTGCGACCTCACCCCCCAAAAACAACCCAATTAGCTATAGTTAAATAAAGTGCTCGCCTTTTGCGGCCGTATGAGAAACCACATTGGCGTTCGACAGGAAAAACGTATGCGTACATACACCGTCGCGCATCCGATGTGAAGAACCGTGGTTTTTTTTAATCCTTTCTCAGGAACGATAAGACATTATGGTTTAATTAAATGTTTGAAAATAAGAATTAAAACATGAAATTTCCCGGGATTTAATGAGTCTTTAAGCCTTAATACCCCTTTACCGCTGTCTGTACAGGAATGCACCGAACCCTAGTTGTACCACCGGGCCAGACTTGTTTACAAAATCAAGGATATATATAACTAGGTCTTTTTGTGTTAAAGCAATGGTATGTACTTCTATTGTATATTGAAGATTTAGAGTGTTATAAGACAACTAACTTTTTTACCCCCAACAAAGTCCCAAAGTTGGACACTGTGCGTGATAAAGCCATACATGAAGCATTAAAGACCGTAAATATTTCGGGGATTATCAACAGGGCGTGTCCAAACACTAATTATATGACTGCATGACAGTAGGGCTTTCCCGATTGTTTAACTGTAAGACAACACCAACAAAGAAAATTACAACTGCAGAAAGTGTATACATTTAAAAACAAATAAAAAAACACACGAGTGATTCAATGAGAAATGACGTCAATAAAGCAATAATGTTATAACATTATTGCTTTATTGACGTCATTTCTCATTGAATCACTCGTGTTTTTTTATTTGTTTTTAAATGTATTCTTTGCAATTAAATCACCAGTGATCTTAATGTAATGTCACTTTAATCGTCACTGTCTTCCTCGTTAACGTCATCTTCATCTTGATGGAACAGGCCGTCAAATTTGGCCTGGTGTTTAGATATGACCCTGCTGACAGCCGTGGGCAGTAGAATACCGGAATGATTGACTCTGTCTTTGATCTCGTCCACAATTTCTTGATGAGTATCATGATCTTTCAGATGTATGTAACTTGACAAAAAAATCTTTGTATTTGTTGAAAAAGATTCGCTTGACTGCCCACAAGGTCTTTCTGTTGGCCTTTTCCGTGGCCTGATCTTCACTCATGCCCTCGTTGATGTACTTTTTATGTTTTTCACTCCACATCTCATTGGTGGCTTCTATGGCCTCTTTAAACCAGTCTAAATAGGCTGCATTGTCTTCCAAATCAGAACTAGATTCATCTTCATCAGATGATTCGTCATCTTCCACCTCCGTGACGGATTCGGAATCATTTTCCTCAAGATCTTCGTCTTCATCATACGTAGATTCAGTTTCATAGTTTTCCATTTCCGGATCTTCAAATCTACTGCTTTTAAATTCAGGTTCAGAATTATCCACTTCAATTTCGTCTATGTCGGATTCATCTTCAGCAAGTGCATTTTCGGTATGTATCAAGAGGTTATATCTCCGTCCAAAGCGTTTGTCACACTGGTGACAAGCATAGGGTTTGACTGCAGAAATAGTATTCATGTTGAAGCTTTGAAGGTTAATCTCCGAATGGTAAGGAACGGATGAAATCATTTAATATATATCTACTCATTTGGATTAACCTTCAACGCTTCATCATGAATACTATTTCTGCAGTCAATACGTTTGAGATGTCATCCCAAACGTGTAATTATTGCAAATACTTTATTGTTAGAGCGCATAGAATAAGTGAAATTGCAGAAATGAGTACAATTCAATGAGCAAGAAAAATCAAGGAATGAGTGAATGAGTAACCAAATGAGTAACAAATGAGTGAATGAGTAATCAAATAAGTGAATGAGTAATCAAATGAGTAACGAAATGAGTAAATGAGTAACGAAATGAGTAAATGAGTAACGAAATGAGTAAATGAGTAACCAAATGAGTAACCAAATGAGTAAATGAGTAACCAAATGAGTAGCAAATGAGTAAATGAGTAACGCCACGAGTGAATGAGTAATCAAATGAGTAAATGAGTAACCAAATGAGTAGATATATATTAAATGATTTCATCCGTTCCTTACCATTCGGAGATTAACCTTCAAAGCTTCAACATGAATACTATTTCTGCAGTCAAACCCTATGCTTGTCACCAGTGTGACAAACGCTTTGGACGGAGATATAACCTCCATGTCTTCGGACACTTTTGGGGACAGATGAATCGACGTATCCACAATGTATTATGAACGAATATCCATTCAAAATAAGTCATCAGTAAACATCAGAATCATTCCACCAAATTTTTGAATTAGATGTTTCCAGTTTGTAAAGAAAAAGGTTGGAATTCTTTGGCAACCATCCTAAATCATGAACAACCGTGAACGAGTGCCATTATAGTAACCCATAATTTTCCGCAGCAAAAAAGGTGATGATCATAGCTCTTGACGCAATTATCAGAACTACTAATTAACTGGCTCAAATATTCCGGAAGCTATCACATTTACATTTAAACAGGATGCTCCTTCATAGATAATTAACTGGTATGCATTTTGACATTTTACAGAATACAATAATCACCACGCGATTTGCTAATGTACTTTCCACATAGGTCAACCATCCAGCTGGTAAGGAGAAACCCATGAGCATTTTCTTTCCGTTTTATTTCAACGATCTTTTCAAAGAGCACAATAATTACTTTGCTATTATCAATGTACATATATTATTGTTTGTTAAAACCAGCCACGTGGAAATAAAATTCGTCTCAAATATTGCTTCCAATTGCCATGAGGTTCTTACATCAATGGAGCTCATCCACCCGTGTGGTTAGCGACTTATCAAAACACCGATGAGAAAACTCAGCATTTCGAACGATGGCCTCAAGGGGGTTAACAAATATTTGTTATGAACTCCAATGAATTCCACACCTTACGAAACCCCCAGATCACGTGATAATTATTAATGATTGACTGCAGACACGTCAGGTTTTACGCATGTTCGTTCGGTATCAGTATTATGAGAACGAAGGAAAAAAATGGACACTGTTTCAGAGAAAAATCCCACCATTTCGTCGCGCCTGAAAACGAAAACGTGGTACCTGTACCATATTCAATACAAAATTACTCAAAATAAGAAACCAATTCCTTTTGAAACTATTTGACTGCTACGTTATTGTCTTGGAATAATTCGCTTGTAGTACGCGATCGTTTGGCATGTTGATGGGAAAACAAATGTGTGCACAGCGATTGATCCATGCCGTCATACGCCATTGCATATTAGTTGAACTATGCACAGGCCTACTTGTCGTGTGTCGTGTCCCGAGCACTGGAGCTCTGATGGGTTATCACAACGCAGCGCCGTCTATTGCGCTTGCAAGAGGCTCCGACTTGAATCAAAATGACGTCACATAATACAGTCACCAACCCGTCCAATAATGCAAGAATTTCCTGGAAAATAAACATGTGCACTACATATCCGGTTCGTTAGTGTGACGCCATCTCATTTCAACCATGCGTACTTCACACGGTGATGTAGCATAGCACGAATGGAACCGGAAGTTAACGCAACTCGAGCGTTTATCCAATGGGCGCGAGTAATCAGTGGTACTTGCGCGCGAGTGCATGACGTTTTTACTAACGAACCGGATAGTGCACGAGCTTACCGGGCGATGCCACCATTTCTTAAGACCGAGTCAGGTCGACTAACAGTGAAAGTTGCAGCTGCAAAAACTGTCATCATCCACTTATTAAGCTGACAAATACAGTCTATCATACCTATGATCAACTGATTGAAGCAAACTCAGGCTTTAATTAGCCCAATTCGAGGCACAGGCTGTTGAACAGGCCGTTTTGCCTCCAAAAAGAGTTTACTTCTAAAGTTTTGATATGGCGCAGGAACTTGACGCGGCTCGACAACAGAGAAAAATTGGTGTAGAATGGTGCATGCGGGATGGTGGCCGAATAGGCTGGTCCGCCGTGCTGTCTCTATGGACAACCTGGTTTGTCTGGGACAGCTTGATTAAATGTCTGGCAGTCATGTTACCTACTCTCACAGTACAGCTTCAAACGCCAACCTGGATGCTCGGAGGGATAATCGCAATAGTAGACGGCATTGCCGAAGGCTCAGGTAAGACAACAATTACATGATATCACCTGTTTAATAAGACGACAATCAAAAACATGTCATTATTGAGAAGAAAAAAAATTGTGTGTGCAACAACTCTATTTGGACGAATTACGGTCTGCCAAAAACTGGAAATAACCATTATAAGCTGCACAATGTTTGTATCTTGGTACCTTTTACACAAAACAAGAGAGGTTTTTTTTTTAAATTTTAACAAAGAATTTCACTAGAGCGGGTCCCCCCCCCCCATCGTGACCTTAAGAAAATGGTGGGCAGAAAAGTAAGAGTGGTACGTTGTATTCTTATTAAATGAGATTAAAATAGATATGCGGTTTCAAACAGACCAATTGCATGTTAATATTTTATGCTCCTTTCATGCTTTGAATAAAGATGTAAATCCTATGCTAATCCGTAAGAAACATGCGAATGTAAAAAAAAAAAGAAATTGCCTTTTACCTGGAACAGGTGTTCGATAGGTGTTTATTTAATATAAATGCCTTATTATATTTTCAGTCTCAATATATATTCAGTAGCATTTAAAATTCCTATTCATAAGCTTTCTTTTAGTACAAGAATCATTCAATTCATATTAATGTACTTTTCAAATTGCGGAACTGTAAACACAAACACCGTTTTGGGGTTCTATCCACGGATCCAAAAAAGGTAAGTGTTCTTTCAGCAAAACGAAAACAATTCACATAGGGTTGTATATCAAAACAAAATGGTCCCGACATTTGGTTTTTTTTTTACTCACCCTGTATATTGATGTGCGGAATTATCCGTAATGTGCGGAATGGTCGGTAAATAATATCGACAGCCACGTTCTTGTCGGTTTTTTGGGGGGGTGGGGGGGATGTTGAGGGTTTTACACTAAGACCATTACTCGTGATTTCGGATCTGAAACAAACCCTTTTTTTACAAGATACAACTTCAAAACTTGTTTTTACGATAATCAGTCATCATGGGAAGGTGGTTACCCCACACAATACTACTTCATGTTGAGACCGAGATTGAAATGAATTATATCCATGCATGGGAACGAAGTTGTTCTCAAACGTGCTCATCCGCTGGGCAACAGTCATCGCAAGACGGGAACCGACTTAGAGAAGAGAATACAGGCCACAGACATGAGATGCTACAGAAAGATTCTTGGCATCTCCTACATAGATCACATCATCAACAAGGAGATACGGACTAGAATCAGGCACGTTATTGGATCCTACGAATTAGATCTCCTGACCACTGTGAAAAAGCGCAAACTGAAGTGGTATGGATACGGGCATGTTTCACAATCATCAGGACTTGCGAAGACGATCCTGCAAGGGACTGTACAAGCAGGAAGAAAGATAGGCAGGCAGAGAAAGAGGTGGGAGGACAACATCTCGGAGTGGACAGGCCTGGTGCTGAGTGACTCCCTGAGAAAGTCTGAGGATCGACAAGGATGAAGGAAGCTGGTTGCCAGGTATTCAAGGGGTGCCCATACGGTCAGACAGACTACGGCATAGGTAACAGGTAACATCACAGAAGTACGGGGGCCCTGGAACGACATTTTAATATTGACCTTTTTAATGTGAACCTTGTAACCTCTTAATATTGACGTTGTACCTTCGCAATATGCACGTTGCACGTGGCTTAATATCGCATTTTGGACGTTTTTCCTTCTTAATGTGAATGTTCCAACTCGTTAATATTCACGTGTCAATGTTCACCATTGATCATGCTTGATGTCAACGTTGCACCTTGCTTCTTTGCAATATGAACCATGTACCTTCGCATTGTGAACGTTTGACCTTGCATCTTGTTAATATCATTGTTGAACCGTCCTCCTTCGCAATGTGAATCATGCATTCTAAAAAGTACGAAGTCCTTGCCAAGCCCATAGTTAGACAACCAGTTATGATGGAGTTTCAATCTGACGGCTGTTTAATGTCACTTAACCTGGGCGTCTACCTTGTAGTGATTTTTATCATGACTCAAGGCTCTCTGTTTTATTTCACTCATCTTTTATAATTCATGTTCAGGCTAACCATAACCCAAGGTTGGGCATACATGTAAAAACATGCATCCTGAAGCCATATCCCAATAATTTTTGACTCGCCAACAGGGCTCCTTACCAAATAGTATGAGGATCCCCGCTGTTTTGACGAGCATTTGGTTTTCGGGCTACTGCTATAATAGTCGAACCCTACATACCCCCCCCCCCCTCCCCGGATATCCGCGCCTGACCGCAACATGAAGAATATTCGCAATTGGCTGACGACCAGTCATGTATGCATGAACTCCAAGCAAACAACTTCGTATAGGGTGCCCCGGCAACACGTGATTCGCTCTCAACGCAACGGTGCGGTCGTGATGCGGCGCTCTCTCGCGGTGGCGGGTTATCGCTGCAGCGGGTAATCGCGCATTCAACCATAAAAACGTCTAGCCCCTAGACAAGCTCGAGTATGTTGCGGGTGTATGCACTGAATAAACAATTAAATAATTGACCGAAGCCACCTGTGCCCCGAAGTTATATTGCGAAGGTACAACGTCAATATTAAGAAGTTACAAGGGTCATATTAAAAAGGTCAATATTAAAATGTCGTTCCAGGGCCACCGTACAGAAGAGACTTTAAAGTGGACTGTGTAATAGTGAGGGCGCTTTCTCATCAACTGACCAAGCAAGCAGACAAGTTTGGATTGTGGATCACGATATATAGTAAACAGCGTGGGTCAAGCATAGGTCCCTGCCGACCTATGTGAACTTGGAAGGTTTACTCGTTGCGTGACTGGGCTCCGTTATGCAGGGGAACGTCAGATGCCTCATTTACTAGGAAGGTGAGGGACATCAATGGTTCATACCAAAAAGAACTCGTTTCAGCTTCCCTTAATTTTTAGAACGAGAAGTTGAACAAGGATGGAGGGACCACCAACGAACAGGGATGGCGACCCCTGTCCGCTCCCTCCAGTCTGCCTTGTCCGTTTCTGTGAACCACTCTGGACATGACGGACATGAAGATTGTGTAAGTGAAAGCGAAGCGAAATTCGTGACGTTAACAATACGTTCGAAGCGCGTCCACCATTGTTGACGACATGAATTTCGCTTCGCACTTGCTTTCGCGTGCAGTATGAACCGGGCTTAAATGATGGATTAAAGTACATCTGTAGGGCAATACAGTGAGACAAATTCCAAAATACATATGAAGTGCTATTAACTAAAAATGTTTTTGCTCTTAGGAACTCTGGTGTTTCCTTTGTCTAAATGCATGGGAACTGGTTGTATCATTGTGGTTTGTGGGATCGCAGTAGGCGGTGGGATCATAGCTGCTTCCTTCGTGACCAGTGCAATCCAGCTGGCTATTATATTAACGACGACTGCTGGTGAGAATAACTCCCTTATTTCTGGTTGATTTACTGTGTGACATTTAAAACTTAATCGCCAATAGATAGAAAATTAACTGCACCAACCGACGTTTTTTTTGTCACGTTTTAACATTTATGAATGTTACAACACATATGCATGCATTAGAATACATGTAGGGCCTACTATAAAAAGGAAATACGAGAGAATTTCCGGAAACTACCGTAGGACGAATCAAAATGCTACATTAACAAATTACACCGGGCCAAATATGAAATCTACTTGAGTATATATAAAATCGGAATTGACAATGCAGCCAAAAGGCGTTCTGCAAAAAAGTATTCCATGGAATTTAAATGATACAAGTGTAAAATTCAATAAGAAAACCCATATTTTATCTAAACTCACTTTTTACTTATGTGATCTTAATTTATAAAAATAAATTCTTAAAAAATCTGAAAATAATATTTGGGCTTTATCCCATTAACGGTAGTCTGATTTTCTATCAATCCGTAGGTTTTGGTATAGGTGTTTCCGGCATTTTGGCACGGCATATCATCGGAACAAGTTTCAGTAAGCAATACGTGATGGCCAGCGGATGGGCACAGACCGGTGACTCTGTTGCTTACATTGTCATGCCGCCATTCACTCATCTGTGTCTTATCACCTACGGATGGAGAGGCAATCTGCTCATCGTAGGAGCTATCTGTATGCACCTTGCCGTGTGCGGCGCCCTTTTGAAAAGATACAAGGAACCTCGAAGAAAAGACGAAACATCGCCACTATTACCTCCTGCAAGAAATCCTTCAGATTGCGAAATGAGTAGCGAACGGAGACCGACATGCGAAAACAAACACATCGCCTCAAACAGAGAGCTGTTTACTAATCCCTTCTATTGGATAACATTGCTGATATCCTCAGGTACGCATCTTACCTCAGGTATGTGGCGCATATATTTCGTGCCCCATGCTATTGCCAAAGGTGTGGCCTCACACGATGCTGCTTTGTTCGTTACGATTGCTGGCGTGGTAACCTTGATTCTTAAAATCGTTCACGGTCCTTTGGTGGATGGAGGTTACGTGAGCTGTCGAGTGTTAATGGGCATCGCAGCGTTCATCCCAACCGCAGGACTGATCATCGACCCGTGGATGAATTCAAACTGGCAAATAATATGCTGCGGTATCATGGTTCTCCCTTTCGTTGGTGTTTCCTTTAACCTAACTGATGTCATAACGAAGGAGTTGCTCGGTAAAGATCAACTGGTCAATGCTTTTGGCTGGCTCGGATTGAAAGCAGCATTACTACGAATTATAGTAGGATTCATCCCAGGTAAGGCAAAAGACAATTTACTCTAAAACTGTACATGTGCATGCCTAGAAACGGTACACAGACAAGTCATTTAAATAGTACATGTATGCAACGCACATCCGTATAATATTCTTTGCATGGGTAGTTGGTAAGAATCGGACAAACGATATGGTCATGTCCTTGACTGGTAGTTGTCTAGTTCCTTTTTTAAGGGGTGTGTCGACCATGACAAATTCACCAAATACATAACCCACCTCAAATCACCGAACAAATCATTTTGCAGTCTGGCGTGTTAGGTTTTGTTGTATTTACCTTTTTTCGACATCATACTATAGATCATCAATAATGTCCATCAGATGTTACCTATTTCGAAAATATTAAAAACCTACTTCTATTCATTACCCAGGTTGGATCTACGACCAGACAGGTAGCTACGATGCTGCATTCGTCATGATAGGCTTCCTAGAGTCGCTTAGTCTGATTGGTCTTATTGTCCTGATGTACGTGACCCGTTCCACTAAGAAGGACAACCCAGTTTGACCTCCGTTAGAAGACGTATGTGCTTTTGGTACATATGGGCTGGTGAACATTGGTTATTGTATCCATATATACATGTAACTGATGTGCTTGGTATTATGGAATGTTTTAAATTTACTTTACTTACTTTTATGGACGACAGGCCAGTCAGTCGGTTAGTTGGTTTGTTGGTCGCCCAAATTGCTGGTCGGTTTGTTGGTCGGTCGTTTGGTTGGTTGTAGTATTTGGCTGTGAGTGTTTTCTAGTTGTGGTGGTCGGTCTGTCTGTATCTGTTTTTAGTTTCTGTTTTTTTATGTAATTTTGTTTTTAATTATATTGTATATCTTTAAAGCTTTTAACTTGGAGGATAGTTTTTAACATTTTATTGTACTGCGCCTATGAGCAATTTTGATTTGGCTATGGCGCTTTATAAATATTGTTGTTATTATTATTGTTGTTATTATTAATATTAAATGTTTGTAGCCTGCTAGACGACTCAGCAGAACGAACCTTAAGCGCCTTGTATAGACACGCCAGTGCACCCAGCTGACTACAGCTAGGGTCAGCTGGCTGCAAGTTTGACTGTTTTCTAAACTTATCTCTAGTGTTTTCATTTTCCAAGACGTAGGCCTAATGACGTTACGTTTTGTTTACACAGGTGTGCTTGACATAATTGCCATGTGAAGACGAGTCCCAACCTGGCTCCTATCATGAAGGGTGGAATAAAGCACGTATGTGCGAGACCTAAATGTAGTACGGACCTAAATGCAAATTGTACACTGAGCCCTAAATGTAGACTACATGCCAAAGGTAGTAATAATAGTTATAATACCTAAGTCTTATATAGAGCACGTCTCTACCAACAATTAGGTACTCAATTATGAAATAATGTCTATTATTAGAGACATGTAAATGAAGTACAAGAGAAATATGAGAACCATTATGTAGCACCTATATAATGGTTTACAAGGTGCTGCGGCGCATATTGCAGCCACTGCCAGAAACACCGGGGCAAACTTGCCCCTTCTATTAGCGATGAGTGTTACTGGGTTCTTCAACGTGCATTACAGTACAAGGGACCTACGGCTTTACGTCCCATCCGAAGGACGGAGCAATAATGGTAAAGTGCCATGCTCAAGATCACAAGCGCCATGTTCTCACGGTCAGGATTCGAACCCATGTCCCAACCTGGCTCCTATCATGGAGGGTGGAATAAAGCACACATGTGCGAGACATAATGTACATGTATATTAGGACACCGTAACCATTGGACCACAGCACCCCACATTGTATCCATATATACGTGTAACTGGTGTGCTTGGTATTTTGGAATGTTTTATACAGCCAATATACATCTACGTTATAGATTTAAATGAATTTTAAGTTATGTCTTGAAAATACCAGTGTCCCGTTTTGCTTTGCCGGGAGCATATTTGTTTCGGGTTATCTTCTGTATTACAGGGAATACACACTAAGGAAGTCCATTCAGACGATTTATGGGAACAAAGCGCGGGCTACATTTAGGGTCATGGCCATAAACATTAAGAAGAGTTTTGGAGCTACATAAATTTTGTAAGTCTGGCCCACATTGAGATTTCGGGATACTTTTAGGTATATACCGTGAGGACAGTAAGTTTTAGGTTTGTAACCAATCCAACCACCACATTGATGCGGTACAGTGGTGTTCAGTTAGTCGATTAATACCTGGTTTTGCTTGTAGGCCCAACTGTCGTCTTAATATTCATACAGACAATGAATGTTTATGACTGCAATGGAAACGATAAACCAGAGGGTAACAGATGAAGTGGAACATCTCATTGATCACCACATAAAATAAATCTGTCCATGTATGCTCGAATGTGAAAATATTATTAGTGTTATAGAAACAGCCTTGATAAATCCTCGGCTTTCCTCGTCATCTAATAGCAAATAGTGTGACCATGAAATTAGCGAAAATAAATTGAAAAAAAAAGTATTGTTGTAGCGGCAGCGCTTGCACGCGGGGTTGGGGGACGGGGTCTGGACCACCGAAGGGTGGAGAAATGAACCTCCGGTAAGAACCTCCGGGATGGAATTGCTTCTCTTCAATCATCAAGGTAGCAAACAGGCAAACAAATAAACACATCGGACACCACGGCTACACTTAAATTAGGAATGCAAAAACAGACACACAAATTCCTATCCCATATAAAATCAGTGACAGATAAATATATGAAAATGCAACCAACTGTCTTCGAGAACCAACCTTGATAAGTCAGGAAAACCCTGAATAAATGCATCTGCCTAATCATGAAAATATATTGTAACGGGCGCGAAATTACTAGTTCAAGTACTAAATGACTAGAGACTAAACAAGAATTCTGACTGGAGAGATCGTATTGTTCTTCAAATAATATTAACGGTTTTATTGTCTTCCAATACTGTTAGCACACCGTGCCCGATGCGTATAATCTAATGTCTATGTGGATAACGATGAGGCGGAGCGCCAATGTGCATTGCAATCGAACGTTGAGTACGACGCGCTCCTTCTTCTATGTGAACTTCCTCACCGGGCCAGAACCAGTCACGATCTGAACACCGAGCCCTGACTGGGCTCGTTTTTTATAGCGTTTGGGCGCGTACATAACGCAAGGAGCTAGCGCATCATAACAAAATGTCTCTTGCAATGCTCTGATTGGCCATAAACCACTGCGCCAAATATTATTCTTATTCATAATAATCATAGCGTCTTGACCTATAAAGCTTCGATGAATTAAACTTGTACAAGTCATTTCATTTAACAGTTATTCTACCATTAGTTTATCATAGGCTCTATTATCAGTACACAGTCAACTGTATTGGCATTAATTCTTCTCATTGAAATATAAGTTGTTAACTTTAAACTTATCTTCTTATCTTCCGTAAGTCCTATCAATTAAGTTTATGAAAGGAACCTGTATTTTATCAGAGTGAAGAATAAAGTGTGCTTACTGGAATTTAATCATGACTTGCATTTTCGTTACATTCTCCCCAACTTAAGACACAAATGCGCCCTCGCATTTAACTACGAATGAACCAATTAAAAGTTAACGAAAATGCACTTGTATTCAAACTACCTATGACTTGACTGCACCAGGCAGTCTTACAATGTTCTCAATAAAAGAAACATATTTGGTATCTTATGCCAAACTCACGGCTTAAAAAGTCCGGTCAATTTAATTTAGAATTGTCCGCCACTCTTAAAGTAATTTATGCACCCCAAGATATTCCAACAGTCGTCCTCAGCAATGTCCACAATTATTTCAATACAATAAGTAGGCCTCAACAACATATCCGCAACAATACACATTTAAAGAAAACTAGAAATGGTCCGCAACAAATATCCTCAACAATAATAAATAAAACTAGAAATAGTCCGCAACAAATATCCTCAAAAATAATAAATAAAACTAGAAATAGTCCGCAACAAATATCCTCAACAATAATAAATAAAACTAGAAATAGTCCGCAACAAATATCCTCAACAATAATAAATAAAACTAGAAATGGTCAGCAACTCTAAATATCCTCAACAAAACGTTTACTTAAAATAAAATAACTTAATCTCTACATTTGGAAAAAAGCATTCTGATGTTTAAATCGACAGCACAGTTTTCAAACATCGTCTAGTTTCCGTAGTCAGTACAACTAGCATGACAGTCATTATTGAATCCCTACATTTATACACACCGTCCAGAACAATTTACTAATTTCGCACAAATATTTATCTTTGTCCTACATACATCAAAGATACATGTCTTCTACAAAAACAAACTGTTCTTGTGTCTACCATACTGAACAGGCACAGTTTCCGTCTGATGTTACTTTTTCAACTTCAAACAAAACGGCAAAATTTCTTACCGCAGTTCTACACCAGAGCTCGAGCCATATACACTACACTGGTACACAGACCAAGCTATAGGGCAGCGCCATTATGTTATTCGCGCCTCGACTTTTGAGGGCGCTACACACATTATTAAAGAAACATGCGCTTCAGACGCATCGCGTCCAAAAGCAGCAGGCTACTTCTATTAAAATTTAAACTCCCCGAATTTGTATTTCAAGACCCATTCTTCACTGTGTTCGTTTTTGTACCAACTCGTAACTTACCAAATTTTCTCTAATGATCACTTGGGAACCTCTGAGGTTAGCTGACCCTGGTACCGGCTAGACTTGGCCAAGTCTGGGTTGCGCTCGGTCTGTGCCTATATAGTAAATCCACTCGCAGCGCATATCGCATACTTACAGTACATAACGCGCGCCCTCATGCGTCGAATCCAGACCATCATGTTAAAAACGTACATGTACATGTTATTTTCAAGTGATGCAGCAACCCAATTTTGCTAACTTTTGCACCACATGTATGCACATGCTCTGAAATACATGCACACACATGCAGTGACATGTACGTGTAATACGCATGTTGTACAATGTACATACAGTGTGTGCGCATTGTTATACGGCACTGAAGTGGAACGCGCGCTGAAGTGTACCTTGTCAGGCATCTGGAAAGACGTAAACTAAGTGATTCTTGCTACTTTTTTATTTTAAATTAAGATACCGACTTAAAGCAATTCCGACTTGAATCAAGTCTAGGTACCGGCTAGATAATATAGCTCCATCGATGAACTCTGTGCTGAGGGTGGCTAACCCTGGTGCGCTGGATAGCCGGGCTAGATAGCCCCATCGATGAACACTTGATGATCTTGTGCGGAATAACTCGATTGACTGAAATAGTTGAGGCTAGCTTCATGATGATGGTGACGACATGTCGATCCGCGCAGCTGCATTATTAGACTGGTAGACCCGGCATTGTATTTTACACCCCAAGCGACAAGGTGTGGTGGCTGACTTCAGATTGCTCCTCAAACCCAAAGGGTTCGGCGATGCAGGTACACCCCCCTGCTACACCTGGCTGGGGCAGTAGAGGGAGCTTAACCCCTCACTGGTGTTAAACTAATAACACCCCCCTCACCTAAGAAGTATAACTCTCCTGAGTTATAGGGAACTTCACAGGTTACCGGATGTGCCTGTTCACTGGTGCTAATTTCGGTATCTTTCTGGTTGGCACCTGCTTCGCTGACTTCTTCGTAGATTACTTTCTTTGTTTTCTGCCACAGGTTTATCTCGTCGTCCAGTCCTGCGCCCCGTTGTTACTTGTATACTGTCGTTGAACTTCTTCTGTTTCTGTTTTGTTCTGCAGGGCCCATCTTGACTTCTTTTTCTTCCCGGCTACATTTGGTGTCTTGTTTACTGCTTGTCCAAAGCCATTTTAATTGCTTGCTTCCACAATATGGCCTGAGTCGATTACTATGTACGACCTTTGGTTTTGTCTTCGGCCCTCTCTGAAGCCTGTAAGTGACATCACTCGATCTCTTGGTAATAACGGTACGGGCCTTCCCAGTATCTCTGTAGTTTGGGACTTGTCCCTTTCTTCTTCGTTGGGTTGTACAACCATACAACATCTCCTTTGTTGTAGCCGCCTGCATTTGCTTTGTGGCCATAGTTTTTCTTGTTTTTCTGTCGCTACTTTCCGGTGTTCTCTCGCATACCGTTGTGTGGTTTCCATGTGCTCGAGTAACTTCTCTGCATACTCTGTATGTTCACTGTTCCTTTCTTCTGGGGGTCGCTCAATTAGCAAGTCCGTAAGTAATTTCACATCACGGCCTAACATTAGCTCACTTGGCGTGCATCCCGTGGTCTTGTGAATCGAAGTTCGATATGCCATCATGATATATGGCAGATGCTGATCCCAATCACGCTGGTTGTCTGAAACGAACATGGAGAGCATGGCTTCCAGCGTTTGATTAAACCGTTCAACCATGAAGAGCAGTGGTTCTAGTTTTGTCGATGCCGAGTAGCTGACAAACTTCCTGAAACACGTGTGACTCGAAGTTTCCACCCTGATCTGAGTGTAGTTGTAACTGGACACTGTATCTGCAGATAAATTCTTCTGTGAGAACATTGGCGACTGTGGTTGCTTCTTGATTTGGAATGGCGTATGCCTCTGTCCATTTCGTGAAGTAATCTACAACGACCAGTATGTACCTGTTCCCTCGATCTGAAACTGGCAGAGGACCCATCACATCAATGGTTATTCTTTCCATTGGTATGCCGACATTGTACGTCTTCATATGGCTGCGACGGTGCTTCAGCGGTTGTTTACGAGTTGCGCAGATATCGCAACTTTTGCAAAACTTGCTGACGTCACTTCGCCACTCGTACCAGTAGAACCTTGGCTGAACTCTGTCAGACGTCTTAGTCCGTCCCAAGTGTCCGGACGTTGGTTCACAGTGAAGAAGTCTCATCAAGTCTTCACCAGTGTTGTAGTCGAGACCGGATAGTCCGAGACCGAGACCAAGACCGAGACCTGAAGATTCGAGACCGAGACCGAGACCGAGACCAGCCCCTTCAAGTCGGACCGAGACCGAGACCAATATGGTCCGAGACCGAGACCGAGACCGAGACCGCTGATAATAAATAACAATAGTCGAAATAAAAAAAACAAGACACGTTATTATAGTTGAAAAATGTAACCTTTCTATTCACAAAGAATACAGACCAAAATTTTGACCAGTGGCAGTGTTGACAAATTGATACATGACACCTTACTTGAGCAAAAAGTAGTTACACTTAAGAAATATGGGCTTTGACATGTTGTCTGCACCCAATCGTGACAAAAGTAAAAAGTTTAATAAAGGTAGATGTTTCATCTGTTATAGGAACTCGGATCCTAAACTCCACAGTCACCCCTTGGTTTCAGCTATGACTTCTAACGGATATAAAAGATGCAATTTTAATTTTACATTGCCTCTTTTTTCCTAAAATAAATTTAGGACTAACTTCTAACAAGAATTGTGTACTTGATTTTAAAAATGGGAGCTAGAAAATGTTGAAATAATTTTTAAATTTTTGTCAAAGAATGTGGACTTGTACATGTAGACCCACAAGTTGCGAGGTGGTAGCCAGAATGTGCCAGATATGGATTTTTAATTTTTTTCTGAACGGGACTTTAATTTTTGAGGAATAATGGGGTACTTCAAAATGAGCAGCCAGAAAATGGGGTCTCATCATACACTCTCATGGCAACAGTGAGTGGTAACTGGTAAGAGTGTGTGAGTTCAAAGCTGGAAAATCAGGTAGAAAAATTTACTTTTTTCTTCAAAATACTGTCCCAAATTAAAGAGAACATTGTGTGGGGTCGAAAATATCACTAATTTGAAGCACCTCATTTATTATCAGAATACAAAATGCAAGTGATTACGCCCACAGGGGGTGGGCTAAACTACACAATCCCCGAAAATGGTTGACCCTTATTGCATAAATTGTTACAAGTTTATACTTTGCTTTATGTGGCCGACTCAACAGATAAATGCCGAACTTGTTCCAAATCGTTCAGTGACTGGTACTGCTGCAGCTTTACATGTACTTTGGGGACTTTCCAACGTGCAGTCGAGTCCAAATCGACCGCGATATATAACAAGCTTGATCTACGGGCTAGCAAATGTTTTAAATAACAACGGTACTGAACGAAGTGAACACAAAGTAATCGTTCAAGCTGTAAAAGCTACATATTGCCGGTCTCGACCCGAGACCAGCCAAAATATCGAGACCAAAGGGGACCGAGACCGAGACCAAGACCGAGACCACAGCTTCCAAGACCGAGGCCGAGACCGAGACCAGCAAAAAGTGGTCTCAAGACCTACAACACTGGTTAGTGTAAGGAACGAGCACGCGCCCCTGGAGTCGAGGCTGGTAAAGGGGCGAGTCTGTCAGGGGCGAGTCCAGCCTCGTCCCCAGTGCTTACTTTATTTCCAACCTGGTTTCCAATGGTAGAGAGAGCAGGTAGTGATGGGTGCGTACTGTTCGAAACCCTGGGGACGAGGTTGGGGCGAGTCGGCCAGAGGTAGTCTGGTTCCCAGACCTGACAATTATTCCCGACGCTCACGTCTTAAATTGTAGGTCAGGCCAGCCTCGACTCCAGGGGCGCGTGCTCGTTCTTTACACTAACCCCTGGCTGTGATGATGACGTAAATGACGCTGAATGGCTATTCACAGCGTACTGCGCGGGCATTTCGAAGATTGCACGCCGGGCGCGCCCATAATGCGCTCGCGCTCGCGTGCTTAGCTTTGCACGTAACGTCACGTACGAACAAAAAAATTATGATTCAAACGTCGCGATGCCTGTACGATATGGATTATGTCAGCCGCGTTTTTCGCTAAAAAAAACCCTGTATCTGTGGTTGTAAAGGCACGAAAGGGGTACGTACATTTAATACAAATCTTTGCTAATTAACACAACGTCCAAACGTTGTGTTTGAAAGGATTGATTCTTCAAAATCACAACTTTTAACATTTTAAAGATGGCGTCGGCACGTAAAACGGATAAACTGCAGCCCTAATTATAATATACCGTATTTTGGTATATTTAAATTACACAATTCCAGGGGTTACGATCGCGCAAGGCATGATGGGAAACAAAATGGCGCTGCAAAATCGTACCCACGGGGCACGAGGTCGAGGTCAGTCCATTGATCTCCATATCTGTGTATATATGGAGATCAATGGGTCAGGCAGCCTCCGCGGCTAAAAATAAACATGACGACATTAATGGCCCTTTTTCAAAGCGCGGCTTCGTTTCCGATATCGCTTTATCACTTGTAGCTTTTAATGTTCTGATCAAATCTTTAAATAAATCACTTGCTTCGTAATATCATACAGTTATGATAATACAGTTTGATGTTTTTGTAAGATAACATTGAGTAATATTGATCTGGAATCTTCAAAAATCTACGTGGAACCTCATAGTTCTAGGAGTAAGCTTACCCAACTTTCCTCGTGTTGCCAAACCTCTTTGTTGACAAACCTCAAATTCATGCAGTAAAATACTGGTTCTTTTACCTTATTAATGCGTGCTATTTAACCTCTGTGAACAATTTCGGTTTCATAAAATTTAATCCGAAATTCAAAAACGGTGGCGTCCGGAAATTGGGCACAAATTCGCGGAGTGTTCCCTAACGTGGCGCACTTAAATAAAACTCGGAAAATTCCAAATTAACATTTAAGAATTTCTGTTAACTTGATAAATTTTTCTTCTAACTTTGTAACGGGTAAATAAACTCGCGATTTATGAATGGGAGTGTTTAGAACTGAAATGTCGCTTTCTGTGAAATTTCAGTTAAAACTTTTGCTCTAAGTACAGTAGGCGCAACCTCGTCCCCAGTGCTTACTTTATTTCCAATACCAGGGTGAGAGAGCAGGTAGTGGTGGACGCGTACTGCTCGACACCCTGGGGACGAGGTTGCAGTAGGCGCTACAGGCGAAAAATCAAAGTGCGCCACCACGTTGGGGGCTGCTCCTAGAACTATATGCATAGTTCTAGGAGTAGTTGGGGGCCGTGTATGTAGCCCGGCCCACTGGCCGCGGTATATGCTGCGCTCAGAGGTTCAGCGCAGCATACCGCGGCCACACTGTACTAGTGGGGCTGGGCTAGGGGCCGTGCCACGTTATCCGGTTCGTAAGTGACTTCGTCATACACGCGCACGCACCACTGATTACGAGCGCCCATTGGATGAACACTCAAGTTGCGTTAACTTCCGGTTCCATTGGTGCAGTAAGTTGAGATGACGTCACACTTACGAACCGGATAGGGTACATCAACAATTCGTTCTCAAATAATGAACCCCACTCAGTATCCGCGTAGCTGGCAATGGACTTGAATTGTTTCTTTTCCAGTGATTCCAACGGTGTAGCCAGAGATTTTAGGGGTGTATTTCCGAGTGGCGGGGTATTCTGCAATTACCTGATTACCTAGGCCCTACACCCAAATAGTAAGTTTTTCTGTTAATGATATTCTTGTAGATATTTCTGTCCGAATGGTACTGGTCACGCTGGTACTGGTAGTGAAACTTTCGCTAGTCCGAGTAACTAGGTCTCTACGGATTGCTTTTTTAACATAAGGACATTTGGCCGGGCGATGGTGGTACTAATCGTTAAAAAGCGATCCGTAGAGTCCAAGTTACTCGGACTATACACTTACGCAAAGTTTGACAAAACAAGGTTTACACACGGACATTCTCACGTGTACATGTACTATGTAGGGCCTTACAAGAAACGAACTATAACGGCATGCAGAGTGCACGGTTGAGCGTCGTCGACTAGACACTCTGATGAGTGCCCTGAACCGTGCATTTAACTAAATCAGGCTTTACTCACTCTTTAGCCAGCAAATTTCTCCAAAAATTCCACTGGGCAAAGAAAAGGGCGATCATGAAGTGTAGGGCCCGGTTCCTATTTGGGAACAAAATCCACTTTAAAATTAATCGACCTACCAAACTAGTTGGCGACATTCTCAATAAACACTAAAACAGGTATGTCATAGATAGAGGGCAGGGTTTAGATTTTTTGATGGAAATTTGGGGGTAAAATGACAGCGCGGTGACAACACGCGACCCGAAAATAAAGATGGCGATCCACCCGCCCGATGTTCCTTTAGCACGCACGGCGCGCTGAATCGCAAGGCACAAACCGCGCAGGAAAATCGTGATTTCTACCCTAACATGCCTAAGAGTAAGAATCTGTTCAAAATTGCAAAACGGGTGTCATTATAATTGAGAAAAGACTGCTTTTGATTGTAAAGGTGATTTTTGATATTTCACCAATCAAGTTTGCATACTGTACTCAATCATTGTCAATTCAAATTTCAATTTAAATAAGATGGGCCTAGTGGATATATTGCCGGAGGTAATGCCGGCAAGCTAACAACATTTACTAAAGGTTTGCCGGTGGCAATCCGTAATCAACAGAGGGCACTGTCATGACTGTACTCTCTAAGATAGGGCACAATTATAAGATGAAATACCACCAACAGTTGTGTAGCACACTTGGTCTAGTGGATAAGCAACGGATCTCATGAGCAGGAATACCCGGGTTCGATCCCGATCCCCGCTGGCGACATTTCTAAGGTTTTTTCCCCCACTCCCAAAAAATAAGAATATTCTTCTTTTATTATATTAACATGTCTCAAACATTTTATTGCAGAGTATTACATTTTCTTTTTCAGATTTGTGGCTCTGGAGGATTTTTTTTAAAGGGAAATAAAGTCCGAAATTGTAAAATGGTCCGATTCCCATTTTGTGAATATGAAGTTACATCGATAATGTTGGCATGAAGCCAGACTAAAATTTGTCATCGGAAAATGTCTAAGTAAAAAATACAGTAACTGTGCATGTTCAGTGCATATCCAGCAAGCTAACGTTTACTTAAGGTTTGCCGTCTCCGGCAATTTAATATCCACTGCCTTTAAATAAAGGAGACTTTTCAGTTTTTTTCATTATTTTGCACATGAGAGGTACATGTATACTGGTGGTGACTGCTCTATGTTCCGACACCCCTATGTTCCGACAACCTAGATTGTGTTACTCCCGGTTAGGGTTAGGGTTAGGAATAGGAATATGTGCAGTCGGAACATAGGGGTGTCGGAACATAGAGGTGTAACCATACTGGTACGGCAGTAGGATGGGACGCTGTATTAACGCAGTAACAATTCTAATTCAAAATAGAGATTGCCCACTAACCTTCCTGAATTGTCCAGTCTTATGTGCTGTATAACTAGGCCCGCCGAACGGCCCCGTGCACGGCCTAGACAACGCTGATTCTCGGGGTCGTGGGCTGTTTTCAGAGTACTGGTATCTCGTTTTAGGTGACGTAAATGGCTGAAACTGTGTACAATAAACATTTTCATACCTTTTGTTTTGTGTGCAAATTTTATTTCGTAAAGACTCCAAATAACTTCACGACGGCAAGTTGAATGTGGGACCGCAGCGCGCGGCGCGATGCCAACCTGGAACTTGTCCCCATCATTTTCTCTGAGTGCTACATTAAAATGCCATTTTTACCCGGAAAACCCCATTGTAGACTGACAAATCAGGTACTAACTTAAAGAGGAAGACGTCATCTTTTCAGTGTCGTATGCGCGTTAGTCATTTTTTGAACTGGGGAGATTTAACAACCTACCAAAAATGACTTTCCCCAAAATAAGCAGAAATGTCACATGATTCCAGAACGTGCATACAGATTGTGCAAAATAGGGATATGAAGTCACTAAATATGGTTTAACATTGCGTGTAACCTCTACTAGAAACTTCTTACAGAAAACAGTAGATCTACCTGTAAATTGGCCAGTCCTCTTATCTATTTTAATCCTTTGTCCAAATAGAGGCTTTATAATAATCCTTAACATTTATCACCTCACCATGGGGGTTGTCACTCCTTTTTTGTAAGTGCATGAAAACGTTGTGTAGTACACAGCGTTTTCATGCCTATATGGGGGAGGGGGGGGGGTCTTCCTAAAGTACAAGAGGGACAATCGGGGTTCCCGATTGCAGGCTAAACACACTTGTACCAGTAAGCGGATGTGCACATCCGCATTTTATCTTTCAATTGTTAATGCCGATCAGCATTTTTTTAATAAAGTGAGGGCCTGCATAATTTACTTTGGGTCTGAAATTGAACAGATGTACATGTAGGACTACATAGTTCATTTTCAGATAATTCATTTTGAATGTTACATGTACCTATTTTAGGGCTGTTTTAAAAACAAGTTGCAAACGTTTTAAAACTGACCATGGAGCTATAAAAGGACCAAATCTTGTGTCAATGTCATGCCTAAAATGGACAATGTCTGAGGTACATGTAGTTTGCATATATTTTGTATTTAAAGATGTATTTTTAACCCAATTTGTGTTACATACATGTACATGTACCGGGTACGTGCCCATTTAAAAGAAAAGCGATAGGCCTACTTGGCAGCCGTATGTAAATGGCTGGATACAAATTCTGGTTATAACAAACAAAAAGCCTTGGTCCCTACTGAATTTCTGTGTACAATGAATGCGACCATCGGTCCACTTAAAGGGGCACAAGGTCCGGAAATCCTCGAAAATTTCGTGTTTTGGATTGTTTTCTTAGCCTATTTCAAACATTTGGTTGAAAGGAAACCAACCTAATATCTTACCGTTGCCGAGAAAAGACGAAAAAAACCCGCTTGTTTACATCGGACACGACGGAGCACGAATACGTTTTTCGTATCGTTCTCAATGTACGATACACATTGTGTGTCTCGGGAACAGTGGTGACCAATCACCATCAATGCAAAAATAGCGGGATATAATGGGAGTTAACTGTAGGCCTACATCAATATAGTGGGTATAAATGACATACAGAACACGTGACATTTATTATTGCTCCCATTCACTCTGGGGCTCAAAAATGCCCATTAGCATGATCAGAGTGAAGTTAGGTACCGGTATATTCTCTACCTAACCCTAACGTACCCAAATCCATCAAAATCCACCCCCCTGTTTCGGGGGATTTCGGCGGATTCAGGATACCTCCATATTGAACAAATTGGGGGATTTTGATGGACTCAGGATTCGAAGCCTAGCGGAACTGGCGGATTTTGATGGATTCAGGATACCTCCATTTTGAGCTATTGGGGGACTTTGATGGATTCAGGATCTCAACAGTTTAACTCTTTTGCAATGTTTGTGGTCAAGTAAATACTGCTGGCACTAGCCCTGGCAAGTCTGTCACATACTGTACAAACATGTACACACATGTACTGGGTGGACTTGCATTGAGGGTCACTTGCTTGCTGGAGGAAAGATACAAATAATGCGCGAAAACGTGATGAACGCAACGCCGTTTACGCGCAAAGAACACCATGTGCATCGCTAATAATTATGTGTGCGCATCGCGTAAATACTCGGTGCGCATTTCTTGCTTTGCGCGTGTTGAGCTAGGTCACGTGCTGGAGGAAAGATACATTTAGCTCCATTACTTTACGTTAATTTGTTGCATGTCTATGAGAGACAACCAAAATGGCGGAGATTTATCGCACAGTGACTGGGCGCGTGTAGACGCGCTGCCAATCTAGTCTTTTCATTCTATATCTATGGTTTATGGGCTGAAACATGCGCTAATGTCTTTCACACAAATTTTGTGCGCGAGACGTATTCACTTCGGTACTCATCCATGCTGGGGTCGCCATGCATTGGTGTATTTTGACGGATTCTATGCAACAACACACATCACAATTTTCATGCGAGCATGGTATCCTGAATCTGTCAAAATCCACCAGAAATTTAGGTGATGGATTTTGAAGACTCTATGGAAAAACATGCTGTATTTTTTTTTATGCCACCATGGTATCCTGAATCCACCAGAATCCATCAAGACTTTTGCTGGTGGATTCTGGCGGATTCAGGATACCTCCAGAATCTACACTGGGGGATTCTGATGGATTCAGAATACCAGCATTTTTTGCATGACAAAATTGGTGGATTTTGGCGGATTCAGGATACTTTCTAGTAAAAGAGCCCCAGGAGTTAGGGTTAAACTTCAGCATTAATCAGAAAAGTGAACATTGACTAATAGCCCATGCTTAGCCTACCAAGAAGCCTGCTGTGGTTGCATGGTAACTATATACAATGTAGTAACCAAAGTTTCTGGCCTTTACCACAGGGATTGATTATGTAACATCATTATCACTAGATTGCCCTTGTGCACAAGTAGTAATTATGGGTATCATTTTAGTTCCATGGTAAGATGAAATCCTGCATAATTACCAGTTTTCTGTTCTGACTTCTGAGCCTTGCAAGAGCAGGCACAAATGCTAGCCCATCATGACTATGTGTATAACATACAATGTAAACTACATGTAGTGCATCCTCTAAGTTAAATAACTTGGAGCCATGGTTATAATGTAGCATACATATAAATGTACATGAACGTACATTTAACATATATTTTAAGTAAATGTATGGAAATG